CTGTTTAGTATTCTTGTAGACCCTTTTGGGACCAACAGTAATTTACAAGAAGACATGTTTGTTGAAGATTTCATGTTTTGATCTTGTTCTGAATAAGCTTTAAGAATCACCAAAGTAAAAGGGATTTTTTCTAAGACAGTTATTTCCATTTAAATAACTGTCATATAAATACAGTTTTATTTGTTGCATTAATGCTTATTTGTATAGGATATATATGCACTTCCGAATCATACATATGAACATTGAAAGTTCGTGAGGTGATCTAACATTTTTTTGTTGTATAATTTTATTAGACACCGTTTAGTTTGCAAACATGATTGGACTGGATATGACATAAATGGATAAGACAGTATATGACAAGAAGGCAAGATTGAACATGACAAAAGGGTAAGACTGGATAAGACAAGTGTTCGTCTCGTGTTTTGCATGACTAAGATTGGATAGGACAAGACTAAACAAGTTGCCTTTAAAAGTTGTTTGATGGTCTATATATAATATAGTCTTTATAAATGAAACAGATAAGGTAAATATTTAAATAATTTAATTTATAGGCATTTTTACACAGTTTTCATATACATAAATATTTACATATACCATATTTGAATGAAGAATTTGATATATTGACGACAGTTTGAAGAAACTTGATTCGTGCAAAGGAAAAACTATGTTTTATTCATTTTGAAACATCCTTATGTATCGGTAGAGGCATGGTGAAGGTTTGTTGTAGTGACAATGGTGGCAGAGGTAGAAGTGAAGATGGTTGGTGGACTATGGTGACTATGGAGGACGTGAAGATGGTGGACATGGGTGGTGGTGGTCGACAGTGGTGGAGGAGGTAGTTGTGGCCATGTGGTGGAGGTAGTTGTGGCTGATGGTGGTGGTGGAGGATGTGGTTGTAGTAGATACGGTGCGCGGTGGCGATGACGACAAACATTGGTGACCATTAAAACAAAAATGATATTAGGGTTATATATCAAGTGATATTATATTAGTAATTATTTTAGTTTTTGTCTCTTTTTTGTTTCAATTAGATGGAACAAGGAAAAACATGTTTGTCCCACGTTGTCCCAGTTCTTGCCCGAGTCTGTACCATCTTATGCCAAACGAAGAACAACAAGTTTTTGTTATGTCTCATGTCATATCAAACTTGAGACAGTGAATTTTCTCCCGTTCTTCTCATCTTATTCTATGTACCAAATACATACTAAATGTTAAGGGTGGACCCACTCAACCTCCATCACTGGTCACATGTCTTCTTAAGTGTAAAAAAAGTTGAAACGACTTTTTGAAAGAAAGTAACTTAGCGATCAAGTTACTTGCCACACAAACAAAACACATAAAACTAAAATGCAACCAATGATTGTTGTTGTCTTCTTAAAAAGTCTAACAAGAGGGTTCTTTAGGATGTTTTGTGTGTAGGAGGTGGGTTCTTACCGTTGCTTATGATTTTCCATGGTTTTATGTTAAGAGTTTTGCAACCCCCATCTTGTCGTTTTTACTAGATTTTCTCAAGAACGTTTGAGGTTGTAGGGTGCAGGAGGGGGAGTGTCTCAAATGGATAAACAAAGAAAGGAGTGATCCCAATTTTTCACGTCTTATCAATGAGATTTAGGGATCGTTTACCAAATACTTACCCGGTAAGCGCTTACCGGTAAATTTAACACTATCATTTACTTAAGGATAAGATTTTAGTCTACCAAAACGGTATCGTATGCAACAATTTACCAGGTAAGCGCTTACCGTGGTATGAGTCGTCGATTTCACTTACCGGGTAAGACTATTGGTCCTTGTCTCACTTTTATTAGTAAGATTCTTGGTCCTTACCATATTCATCCGATAAGGTAAAATGACTTGGTGTTCACTTACCCGAGTAAGCGTTTGGTAAACTGCCCCTAAGACACATTAAAATTTTTATTTATTTAATTCATTTTCACACACATAGTAGACAAGACACACACACACACTCTCTATTTCTTTCTCTCTGTGTATGTGTGTGTGTGTTGATGTGTATTCACGTGATTGTTGGGGGAAGTGTCTTATTAGACGAAAAATACAATTGGAGAAATAAAGAAGAGAATTGTCCTAAATTTTCACGTCACATCAATGAGATTAAGATATATTAGATTTTTATTTGTTTAATTCATTTTCACATACACACATACACACACACTCTCTCTCTCTCTCTCTCTCTCTCATATATATATATGAGTTGGGTTCATGTGAGACCAAGAGTTTTTCGTGAGACCCGTAAGACCAATTTATGTTCATTTATCAACTTTATAAGCTAATGATCTAACGGTCTAAAGTTGCACGGTGACAATTTTGTGATTATTGAGAAGTCTCGTGGCAATTTTGTGATTATGAATGTTCAGATTGTAGATCTAATCCAATGGTTGAGAATTGGTCTTACGGGTCTCACGAAAAACCATTGGTCTCACATGATCCCAAGTCTATATATATATATATATATATATATATATATACACACACACACACACACATACTAGGTTCGACCCCGTGTATTACGCAAGGTATTTTAAATGACAAAAACTCTGGCCATTAACTCTGAAAGAAAACTCTAAACATTAACTCTGGAACACAAGAATTCATAATTCTATTGTTAGGCTGGAAATTAACTCTAGACTTAACTCTGAATAAGAGGAATTCAGAGTTGTCTTCTAAGTTTAGAAAGTATCTACGAGCATAATTCCGAGTCACAAGAATTCTGACTTTTTATAACTCATAAACGTAACTCTGAAGAGGAGTTCAGAGTTGTACTCTAAGTTCGGGAATAAACTATATGATCAAGTTTGGAACAGAACAATTCAGAGTTATGTTGTAAGTCTGAGAAATAACCAATATATGATGATTTCATGTTGATGATGTGTATCACTAATGTCACTTAATTGTAATGGGATTAAATTGTTGACCATTGTAATCATGATAAATATCGAGCATGTAAGAAAGGTGCGGAGTGCACACTTGTTTGAGTTTATTTTGATTTAGGGGTGAAGCCCCTAAACGACAGGGGTCCGGGGGTAGAGCCCCTGGTTAGGGTCGAGTTGTATTCCAAGGAAGATCAAGGCTTAAATGCCAAAAAGGTTAAGTGCTTGATGCAGAGCCTCTGCATAGTACATGCATAGCTTCACTCCAGATGTAGAGCCTCTGCATACTACATGCAAAGCTTCACTCCAGATGCAGAGCCTCTGCATAGTACATGTAGAGACCTCTGAGTCTCCTACTTCTATATTTGGAGGCGAAATCGTTGGACGAGTCTCTAAATCTGGAAAGGAAGACTTTAGATTTTGGAACTCTAAACCACTAATTACTATGCGAAGACGGTTATACCACGAATACGTGAAATTACCCGAAAGGACACGTGTCACTTAAATAGACCTATTTGAACCATAAGTGACAATTGTGTCTAGATACATGTTTAGGCGGGAAAAATCAATAACCGCAACACAGGAACATGACACGTGTCCCAGAAGTTACTTATTTATTAGTATTTATAGATATATCTCGCTGTTGATGTCACGTGATTGATGGACATGAATGAGACGTGAGAATTTAGGATATGTGATTTTTATCCAAAGATGACTATCCTGATAAAAATCTTTTTTTTTTAAATTCGGAAAAAGATCAAGAAAAATTCAACTTACTTTCAAATTTGAGCGTAAGTCCTTTGACAATTTATTGAATGAATAAATTCATTTTCTAAAACCGATTTAATAGATATGTTTAGTTCGTTTCTTTCACTCTTAGCTCAATTCTTTAGTTTGGATTTTAGCTCAGTTCTTTTTGTTCGTTTTTTATTAGACGTTTACTGTTTGCTTGCTTCATGGCAAAAACTAAAATACATGATTTTTTTTTTCTGTTATGATACATTTTTTGTTAGACGTTCATTGCATCTTGTTTTTTTTTGCTCATTAGATTGTTTTGTTGGAATTCTGTTTTCATTTTGGAATTGTGATAAAATTGTAGCGTCAACTTTTGTTGGTTGATTATTGAATTATTGTAACTTTAGTCGGTACAAAACCAATACAAACATGTATTAAGTGAAAAAACTGATATACATTATAACTGATTGATATATAACAGATAAAAAAACCTTGGAACCGTACAAATTATGTTCACTTTTAAATGAAAATGTTATATTTCTTTTGCTTTTTTAGTTGCATTTAAAATCTATTTAATCAATTTTAATTTTTTAACGACTTATTCGTTTCAAAAAATTCAAGAACTCAATGATTTTACAACAGTTTTATAAGTGAAGATGCTCTACCTGATTGATTTTAGAAAATCCAAAATTTAGTGGTTCAAAAATAACGTTCAACAACTTAATAGTTTAAAACCACAAGGGTTTATGGCATAGTGATTGAGCCCCGAAGATATGGTTAGAGTCGTTCCAATCTTTTTGGAGGCTTTATTACACCCTAATTAAAAGTATAGATCGTCTAAAATGAGTAATAAACAAAATAAATTATAAAAATTTCATGTTATATAAAAAATTTACAAATTAAAAACCACATAAATTTATATATATCGAGGAGTCAATTTTATTTGTAATCAATAAATTATGAAATTAGATAGTTGTTTTTGATATTGAAAAAAATCAGATAAATATGCATTAAAATCAGTTAACAGGCTGAGTTATATCAATCAGGGTCTTATGGGGCCCTAAATATGAAGGAATTCCCATATGTTTTGGGTTTGATTCCAAAATGTGCACAACAATTGTAATTATTGAATTTTTCAGTGATGATATTTTACTTTTACAAGTTTTCAGAATTAATCCAGACATATTCTGAGATAACCTTTAAAAAGAAATTAAGGGATTGTTTGTTTACCTCTTAATAGTTTCATTAATAGACAACTTTTGAATCGTTAAGATGTGAATCTTCTAAAACCCTCTGAATGATTTTGTATCATGGATCTCTCTTGATCATTAAGAGCCCTAATTTCATTGTATACAATTACCAAACAATTATATTTCGTTTTGCACTATTTCATGAGAGCTTCTTTATTATTTTACGCCAAACCATTCAGTAATTACCTAACAACCCCTAATAATTTAAAATAAGAAATTTCAATAATTTTTTTCAAAAGGAAAAAAAAATATCAAGATTCTTGGGATTTCTTTTTGAGCAAGAGATGCTATTAGGTTAGGGTAGTTTTGGTAGGATGCGCACGATAGCATGAGTGATTTCGTCCTTTCCCGCATTCCGCTGGAAGCGCACGTTAGCAAGTCATCCCGTATTCTGGTCGAAGCGCACGATATATAAAGAGCTCTCTTCTCTAAAACCCTTCTCGTTCCATTAAACCCTTCGAAACCCTCTATTTCAATCAAAACCGGAAATCGTCGAATCTCCGGCGCCGGCAATACAGATTCAAACACTAGGCGATCAGACATCACCTTCTAATCTTTAATCGATCGATGTCGCTGAAATCTGTAAATCTGGAAAAATTGAAAATCAATGTCTCAAACCCAAAAGTATTGATCGTGATCGGTGTCAGCGTTGCTGGCATCTTGATCCTTACAGCAGAGACTCGGAGGCGTCGATTAAAAGGCAGGCATACAGTGAAAGAAGATTATGGTGCTTTTGTAGAGCGGTTTGAGCTACTTCCGTTTCCTCAGCTGCCTCCTCCCGCCGCCAAACAACTTCTTTCTGGTTTAACTTTTGCAATCAATGACGTGTTAGTTTCTCTTACATGTTCTATTCTTTAATATTACATATGTATTTATGAATTATTATTATTTTACACAAGTGGATCACTGGATGATTATACCTCCTCATTGGAAGTTCAGCGTCATCGCACATATGCTATTATTTTTGTTATGTGTCTGGATGTTGTTGTGCACTCGCATGGACCATTTTTTTGCAATGATGTAATCTATACAATACAATTTTTTCTTTCTAAAAGAAAATATGTACGCCAACATGAAATGCAAAGTTTGCATGTTTAGTATTTTTATCGCACAAAATAAATAAAATTTTAGAACGGTGTTTCAGAAAAGGTATCAATGAATTTGGGTTTTTTTTGTTTGTGGGGGGAGGAGCGGACGGGAGTAAAACCAATAAGTGTTGCATTCTGTTTTGGAGATGGACTACCATTTTACTTAAAACATGAATTTTTATGTTCTCGTAGAAAATTAGCATCTTGCATCAATTAAGCTATACAAGTACAACAACTGAACTTTTATTTGGTCTAATTTTGCAACAAATTGTGAGTTTGCATTTGAAGTGTGCTACCTACATATGATATCACCTAAAAAAAAAGCTTAATTGTTGCTGAATTCTGCTATTATGCTGCAGCTTTGATGTGAAAGAGTATGTGAGTGGCTTTGGGAACCCGGATTGGAAAAGAACCCATGAGGAAGCTGGGAAGACTGCTATTGTTGTCACTACTTTGTTGAAGAATGGGGCTACTTGTGTTGGCAAGACTGTCATGGACGAGTTATCATTTGGGTACTCCTTCCTTTTTTGTTTTTATCTTTAGTATATTAAGTAGATTACATTATTGATATCTGACTTCTCGTAAAGACAAGAAGTTGCACAAACATTGTTTGTTCTAGTATTACACAATCTGTTTTGTGGTGTTAATCGCAATTCTTTTTGTATCTAATGTGTAACATATGTTCGAGGACTGGTTAGTTGTGCATTTTGGCAATGGCCACTTTAAGTTTGAAGATAAAAAAAAATATCTACTTAATTACAAAGGAAACTTTGTCATTCACTCATTCTTTTTCATTTTGTTTTCTGTGATTGCTTCGTTATCTTTTTGCAAAGTTTCTGCTAATGACGATTCACAGTTTACCTTGGAAGTGAGTGCTGGTCTATGATTTCAGGATAACTGGAGAAAATTCACATTACGGGACCCCAACAAACCCAGCAATGCCATCTTATATTCCCGGTGGACCGTCTGGTGGTTCCGCTGTTGCTGTTGCAGCAGAGCTTGTTGATTTTGCTATCGGTATTGTTCTATCATTTGTAGATGTAAATGTTGACAAAGGGAATATGCAAGCACTTACAGTAATTTGAAGATAATCTTTCTTTTTTTCGTCTTCATTCCCGTCCACATCCCCTCATGAAAAAGGGATTGAAACTCAAATGTTTAAAACTACAAGCAGTCAAGCATGTAGAATAATAAATTCTTAGAAAGTAGATCTAGCTACCGTTTAACAATTTTTTTTGAAGCGGATGAGGTTGCCTGGTGGCCTCAGTTGGAGATGGAGGTGCACTGTGTTAATGGGTTGAATATGATTCAAATTGGTTCAGTTTGCAGTGTGATAGGATTGGCGGGTCCAGGAAATGAATGGGGTGGGGGCACGTTGGATGGGATTTGAGGGAGGTAAGCATATGGGATTGGGGGGAAACCATGTAAGACGAAGGTGAAAGTAGAAAATTTAAACTAGTCAACTAAGGTTTATGGTTTTTGACTGGGGGCCTTTCCCCCCACTGCTTAAAGGCTGGATCCGCTCATGGATAGGAATATCCTTGAATCTTGAGAATAAGGATTCATTGTGGTCATGTGTATAAAAGGAGAGATTGCTGTTGTTTCGTGTGAGATTTTCTTCATGACTTTTAAATCGGTGAAATGCGTATGACATATGCCTTTCGTTGACTTCTCAGGTACTGATACAATCGGGGGAGTGAGAATTCCAGCTGCATATTGTGGCGTACTTGGATTCCGGCCTTCACATGGAGTTATATCCACTGTTGGGGTTCTCCCAAATTCACAGAGTTTAGACACTGTTGGTATGTAGTCTCGGTATGTTCTATGTATTTTCGTTTAGCCTTTCAGTTTTTTTGTCGAACTACATGTCTGTTAGAGGTCTTCAATTTTATTGCTGCTTCTTTGGCATTCATGTATATGAAGCACTTTTTTCACAATGAAACGTTTGACATGCAACCCAACTTATGTGGAGTATTGAGCCTCTTAGTTTGTATGAAACTGACCAACTACTTGAATTCTTTCAGTCAACCGGTTGGATGTTTTCTTGCCCCATTATTCTGAGATTTCTTTATGACTTTTACTAATAGCCTATGCTAATAATGATGTATCCATGATGATGAAAAAATTTCAGGAATATTTGCTCGTGATCCTTCTGTATTGCATCGTGTTGGACATGTCCTCCTTCAGTTAAACCCAGTGGAGCCTAGAAGGACAAGACGCATAATAGTGGCTGATGATTTATTTCAGCTATCTAAAGTTCCTCAACAGAAGACTGTATATATTGTTAGCAAAGTAACTGAAAAGTTATCTGGTTGTAAGTTCCTTCACAGGATTTTTATGTCCCAAATTATATAACTTATTATATCATTGGCTTCTGCTTTGCGGATCAAAAAACAAAGGGGCGTCATTAGTTATGATAACTGCATGTTGTTCTTTTTTTGTTCAATCTTTCTGCAGACCAACCACCAAAGCATATGAATATTGGTCAGTATATTTTGTCAAATGTTCCAAGCCTAAAATATTTTCATGAGCAGACATCAAACCCGCAGAAGGGAACAAATACTTTGAAAGCTCTTTCTTCAGCTATGTTATTGTTACAGAGGTATAACATTTTTTTTTGCATCTGCATTGGTTTAGTTCTTTGTGTATTGAGGTGGCAAACATTCACAGTCGCAGTTAGTGATGTTGAGCCTAATTTTTTGGAGATGATCGTGGAATCATTATGCTAGATAGATGCTAAGAGAAGATTAATACAGTTTCTAGGAAGGGGTGAACCAGGCTGTACTGCTCATTTGTGTGTCTATCCTTTCTTTTCATTTGTATACTCTCAATTAAGTACGAGGATGAAATTTGAGTAACGTTTCTTCCATGAGTTTCATCCATAATAATGTGTAACTACTATTCTTTTTACATATTGTTTCCAACAACGTTCCAGGAAAACATTTTCTGTTCACATGATCCTGCCACCAGTTTTGAGTCTATACTTTGCATTCTTTTTGCAATCTATGGATGTTGTTGTGCCCCCTTTTATTTTATATGTGTACATATGAGTTTTATTGCAATCATCACCCTAACAATTTATTGGCATCCCACTGATGACTTTTCAGATATGAATTCAAAACCAATCATGAAGAATGGATTAATACAGTCAAACCCAGGCTAGGATCTGGTGTGTTTGATCAAATTCATGCAGCAATTACAGCTCAACATGAAAATATAAAAGCTTACTACAAGGTCAGGACAGAAATGCGAGCAGCTCTATGCAGTCTCTTGAAGGTACTTCACATCATTGACTGAAGGAGCATGTGGCCATATTTTGTTTGTAAGCCTATATTTTCTGTTGCATTATAAGATTGTATTGTTATTAATGGGTTCTTGTCACATAAATCACTTTGTCGTTAGTTTGTTCTAGCTTGTCTTTATCCTAATGCAAGGGATATTAGTGCTTCAACTTGACACTTAATTTCTTGTCAACACCTCTTGTGAGTCTTATCCCACATTTGAACGATTTTAAATCTTGAAGGTACTCATGTCTATTTTTTTGTTCATGGGATGATGGGAAAGCTACTTAATTGCTTGTTTATGAGGTTGCTGATCATGTTAATTGATGCCGAATGTATCTTACTGAACTCGGTGAATGATAATCCAAGCGTTAGCGCTCTGATGAAGGCATTCACCAATAGTCTATAAATATCCTGAAACTGGAGAAAGCTATTATCTTTCTCCTGATAATAGAATGATCTCAATGGCAGGTTTCTTTCATTAGTTAAATAATGGGGTGTCTTTATGCTTTTAATGACGGTATTCGATATTATCTTCATGCAAAACGTTTGTATTCTCAATACACTGTAGAACTAGAATTTTGTTGTTTAGAAATCTTATCATGTCTTCTTTTCCATATATTTTATTTTTTCTAGCAGTTTGGTGTATGACTAATAATCGGTTGATATATGTCTCCAATATGGCTCACTTAGACCACTTTACCTGATGTTAGCATGGCAGCTGTAAATACAGCTGCATATTGTTTTCAATCCACCAAGCAGCCTTTGTACATGGTCTATTCAGTATTGCATAAACCCAGCTTCCCTAAACTTTTGGACCTATCAACTATTTTTAGCCAACGTGAGAGACTTGTCTCCTAAATGATGCCCATCTCTCAATCTTGCTACCATCAGAACTCGAATTGGAAACTTATATAGTTATATTACAGCTAAATGACATATGGATAAATGCAACTATTTATAACTAATTTAAGATGTGTTTCAAATTTTGCACTTGGATATGGGACATCTTGTGTCTGTTTTTTAGAAAGATCATCAGATTCAAGAAAGGAAAGTGAAATAATTGTTTTTCTTAACCATGTAAACTAGTAACTGTATGGAACTAGTATGTGGAATTTCAGATTTTTGTTTTACCATTAAAATCAAGTAGTTTATGCCTGCATGCCTTGCTCTACTCCATGGGGCAAGTTAGTTTTGATGTACTCTAGTGGGAACTTGGATGAACTTTCTTCTCTCTTCAAAAATGCAAAATTATCCGGGAATAAGAGAATTAGCTGATGTGAGACTCCAACACGCCCTGTCAAGCGGAGGCTAGATGTCGATCCCATGGCGGTGCTAGATGTTGGCTCAGATACCATGTTATAATATGTTGAACCCTGATTTTTTCTCTCTAAAAGATCCCTTCTAGAGATGGTTTGTGGGTTGGTCTGTGACTAGCCAATGTAAGATGCCAATAGAATGTAGTTACTTTGACACATAACAATTATAGGAGCATATTCTCTTTTATTCTCTGTGCTTTATGTTCTATTTACTGCGATCACGAGAATTTACATGATGCCAATTGATACGTGTCCTGCTGCGCAGGATGATGGAATTCTGGTTCTTCCTACGGTTGCTGATACTCCATTAAAACTTAATTCAAAAAAAGCTATGTTGTCTGAATTTCATGATAGGGCATTTGCTTTATTAAGCATCACTACTATGTCTGGCTGCTGTCAGGTAATTTTATATGAGGGTAACTTCATTAACTTTTTGCTTTATTGGATCATCCCACTTTATATGACTGTCATACAAATTGTCTCCAGGCTACTGTTCCTTTTGGAAAACACGAAGATTGTCCGGTTGGTGTTTCTTTTATTGCATTTCATGGATCAGACAAGTTTCTCCTTGATACTGTATTGGACATGTACCAATCTCTACAAGGACAAGTTAGTGCTATTACTAGTTTGCCACCATCGTTAGACTTGAATGGCAACATGGATGCTTCTGAATTGTTGAAGGAGAAGGTTTTACCCTCTTTAATTCTATGATTTTGTTGCATGCCAGTATGAATTAACTGATGATTTGATTTGCTGCATGCATGAAAAGTTTCATACTTGTGCTTACATTTTACATAAAATGTTCTTATATATATAGCATATAGCAAGGTTATGGTGATTGAGCTAGGTGTTGGAATATAGAAATATTATTACTGGAATACACCCATATAGGCTCAGCCACATATGTGGATATATGCTGCACTTTCAAAGAAATTATTACACTGGCTCTTTCACATTCTAAAATGACATGCACTTTTTTTTTAAATCAACATTTTGTTTGCAATCTTTTAACAAGATATAACAAGCAGAAGTTGGTTCAAAGTGGGAGGCCTCCTTTGTTACTGTTCCTATCTCCTACTTTTGTTATGCATAAAATCAGCAGTAATTAATCGTAGTCTAACCCATAATGCCTTGATTGTTAGTTTTAGCTCTTACTAATTTGAACTCTCTTTATATGTATTTTATGTTCTTTAAAGGCCATTGAAAAGCAATTTTTTAGTTAGTTTCATATTTTTTGGTATCTTTTTCAGGGAAATGCTGCATACAAGGGAAGACAATGGAATAAAGCTGTAAGTTATTATACTGAAGCTATTAAGTTGGATGAATCGAATGCTACTTTCTACTGCAACAGAGCAGCTGCGTACTTAGAATTAGGATGGTATGTTTTCAGACTTCGAACTGTTTGATATAATGATTTGGTATTTATATACGTTTTGCTCCACTGACATGAGTATGGTTATATCCCAGCTTTCAGCAAGCTGAGGAGGACTGCAGCAGAGCAATATCACTTGATAAGAAGGTCAGTGCTGATTCAAATGATACGTAGTTCATTGTTACTGTACTATTTTGACGTGTGTTGCTTGTTTTTAATTTGGGTTTAAGGCTTAGACGTGTAATTCTAGTGGAGCTGTTCATTTGTACTGTATCTGTGAGCTAGGTCGAAAGGTTGAGCTGGAAGTAGAAAAGAGGTTTTAATTAATGGAATTTGAAAGGGTATAGTTTGTGTTTGCAAGGATATCGGTGGAATGTGGATATGTTGGAAATCTTACTTTTCAGTTTAAAAATCCCATATGATGAAATATATGAGCAAAATATAGAGAGAAGTAAATGTTCCCAGGTTTCAATCTTTTCGAGAACTTTGTATTTCACCAGCTGTTTTCTATGCACCAATTTATTCCAAGAATTTACATATCTTGAAAAATGTACTAAGTAGTGTGAGGCAGTGAGGTCACAACGCTTTTCAAGGCGTGATATATGGCAGCAAATCTTATATCATACATCATATTATATATATGTGTATACATATAACCATATGTTTTCTAATGTTACTCAACGAGTCAATAAAATTAAACAATTTAAATTTGGGTATATATTAAAAACTAACAAATAAGACATTAAAAAGGTAAGAAAAATCAAATATCGTGTTACAAAACTGCGCATTAGGCCATGGCGTGAGACGCAAGCCTTGAACCATGGCGGCTGTTGCGCCAAGCTTTTTAGAACACTGCTTGAATACTCTTTCAGTTTGCATGCCAAGATTAAACATGGAGTAGAGAACCTGTTTCTTAAGGTGATGAAATGTATAAATGTTTGAGAACTTGTTGCATCATATATGTGCTGCTCATCACTTGAAAATAATTTCCTACGCTTTTGACATTAGTTTGTCTCTAAAATTGGATGCATGCTAACTAATTTCTTCTTTGTGCAGAATGTGAAGGCGTACTTGAGACGGGGAACTGCTAGAGAATCAGTTCTGTACTACAAGGAGGCTCTTCAAGGTGTGTGTTCTTCTATTTTGGTAGATTTCGTAATAAAAACTGCACTTATTTTCTAGACAACTAATGTCTTTAGAGATTGTTTTTAGTACTCCCAGACCCAAAATAAAAGCTATGTCTTGTTGTGGAAGACTGATGATTGAAGTTCAACTTTGCCTTTTCCCCCTCCGTTAGCTTTCTTAGTGTGGTTTTAAATCTATCTTTGACGTACAAGTAAACTGTAGTGCAGGCAAACTTTAAACACTATTATTATGGTCATTTTTTTGTGAGTAATCAAGAAAATGTGCTGTTGTTCTTTTCGTCAGTACTTGATCTTCCAACTTGTAAGTGGTTGGTATTTTGAACTTATGTGCTGAGTTGTATTCTGATGATGCTAATTCGAAGAAGGGGAGAACTTGATTCTTGAAGTCATTTTAGAGGATGTATATATGGCATAATTCTGCACTGAACATCGAAACCAAGTTATGTTATAGGTATGCAAACAAAGGGACACAGAGGAGACCTAGAAGTAGAATCATTGGTGCATACATGCTTTAGGGTGTGTTTGGTAGGTGGATTGGACTGGACTGGCAAGAGTGAAGTAGGCCGGTGAACGAATTGTGGACGGTTTTAGGGTTTTTTTTGACATGGCTAGTTTAGTAATTTATCGATCTTGCCCCATTTTCCTGATTTGTGTTCTACCTATTTTGGTGTGACAGAAAAATGCATTTTTGTCCTAGTCTATGTGGGACAACAAGTTCTTGTATTATTTGTCCTGCGTACCAAACGCACCCAACTGAGTTCTAAAAATCTCTTCACTCTTGTTTTCTGAATTAGGTTGAAACATTATCCGAATCTAAATGCTATAGCCTAGATGAAACCTATACTGGTGATTGGGAGATGAGATGAAATGATTTGACCTAGTAGGTGTCAAGTCAAGTTGGAGCTCTTCGTGTTAAGTTGTGATGTAGCTCTGAAAAATATACCTGTGATTTTTTATGGTTCCTCACTGATGATCCTCAATGAAAAATTGATGTCGAGTGTGGTCGGTACACATAAACACTAGTTTAGGCATTTGATTGCTGTATATGTGGGAATACTACTTTGGTTTCATATTGATCAGTGTGTGGAACACATCAGATTTTCATCAAAACTTCATGCTTTTGTGATTTTATTGCTATCAAGCCTCTGAACTCCTGAATGCCTTGGCATATATGATCCTGTCTAGAATTTAGGTTTGAAACAAGAAGGTAAAATTATCAAGAACAAACACAAAGCATACACAATTTTGTATTCAAGTGTTACACTTATGATTAACGGCATGCATATGGTCCATGGCTTTGCCTGTGAGATACCGCATGAGCTCTTTTTTCTACTCGCTCTGTCCCAAAATAAATGTCCACAATGAAAAAGGCACACGGCTTTAGAAATGTGTAATTGTTACACTTTTTATTTGACTAAATGACAATTTTGCCCTTATAATAGAGGTAGTAATGGATTTCTTCATCTCATGAAAGGGTAGAATTGGAAAGTAGACACTTGTTAAAAAGAAGAGTATTCTTTTCCATTTCTGCTCTTTTCGTTACTTTTACTTTAAATGTATGCACTTATGTTTTCATAGTAATGCATCATAATAAATTATCGTTCGGATTGGGGACACGGTTAATGCTCATTTTAAGCATTTCAAAACAAAGTTACAGTTCATACCAGTTCTTTTTCTTTCTAATGCCTGCAGATTTTAAGCACGCGCTCGTACTAGAACCCCAAAATAAGGTTGCAAAAGGGGCTGAGAAGAGGCTGCGGAAACTAGTAAGTTAATATACTACTTGGGGCGCTTTTGCATCTGATAAATAATTCCATTCCGGAATCTTCTCTTGTGCAACGACATGGAAGGTCCATTCAAAGTTAACACCCAACGGAAGCTGCTTGGAAATACGTTTTGTAATATTTATGAAACTGTAGCTGGTTTTCTGCAGCCAGGGTTTTGTGAAATTGTGATAGTGTAATTGATTTTGTGGAGAGAATATGATTTTATTGCCTAGTATGAGTTGTTCCATCATCCATGTGCCATTGATGCTGCAACTTTATTGGTTTCTATTGGATTCGATTCGAGCACCAGATCAAATGGTTCATTTGATTGGATTGGCTCGTGTTTATGTCAAAAATTACGTACACCATGGACCCCTTTTCGGAGTCTCATCCAAAATGACGACAAAGATGAATGGGTTTGGTCCCGATCTCTGGTGTGTATCCCTATCTCCACCGAGAAATACTTTGTCTAGGTCGATGTCCGTTTGTACAAATCTGTACCACTCTCTCTTACTTCTCCCATAATTTCATGGTATGTTTCAGTAGTTTTTTACTGCGGTATTTTCAGCAATTTCGTTTGTCGTCTTTGTTCTTGTATAACGATAGTAGAGAATTTTGTGCGTTGTCTTTGTTCTTGTATAGTTATGTTAGGGGTCGTTTACCAAATACTTACCTGGTAAGCGTTTACGATTATTTTAAAACCAATGAAAAGATTTTACCCAAAAAACAAAGCATAAAAATTGAAATAAATGTCATACACGATGTTTTCATATCTGGAATCACTTAAATAAATAAGTTATACAAAGAATCTGTAAATGTCACAAAAGGGAATGTAGTTTTAGGCTTTGATTTCTTTGACGAATTTGATGCTTAACTTTTTTGTTTTCGAGCATCGGATTCCGACTTCCATCCACGTATTTGGTTTTTATAAACCGGTGTTTAATCTTTGTTTATTAAAACGAGTTTATATTTAAATGCATTTAAATCGAATAAAACTCGTTCATATATGAAATTGGCACAAGTCCACAATAACAGGGATATCATCCAGAAACTCAAACTTAAGTCTTACGATCAACGCTAAAGTCGTAAAGATACTGTTAAAATTTGATTATTTAAGCGACGGACATTTTGGCCATGCACGAGTTGTTTTTTTAATTCTTAAAACTGTTCAATACAACAGTATTTTCACTGAATATAGGGAATTGGAAAGGGTGTCTTCAAGAAAGGCTGTAAACGAGGGAGAATACTCTTACTGATTAGTGCTTACCGAGTAGGAGGTGTTTATCGGGTAAGAGATGCTTACCGACAATTCATTTTGATGGTTGAGAATGTTAATTGATAAGGTCAGTGAAGATCATGACTTTTGCCAGTAATCGTTTATCACGATAAACAACTCCTTAAAAGTCTGGTTGCACATAAACCTCATAGACCGACTATTTAATCTAACCCAATCCGAAAAATAGGTTGATGAACCCAATCCGATTCAGGCCAAAGTCCAAACGGGTCCAATATCATATAGGTTTAACCTAACCTGATAAGTCCGACCAAAAATACCTATTTCCTTATTAAGCCTTTTGTAAAACCATAGTTTTAATATTATTTAAATATTGTAAAGGCTAAACAACGTCAGCTATTCAAATATTGTAAAACCATAGTTTTAATATTATTTAAGTAATACATTGTTTTATAAATATAAGTTAATTTATTTTTAAGTACATGTTTGAATGAATATAAGCTATCTTATTAAAATACTGATTGAAGTAGCGTTTTGGGGGGGTTTATTGTCACTTTTTTTTAATTAAGAATCGTATTAATATTAATTATTATTTATTAATATTAATTGTAAATAAATATTTATACTATATTATAAAGCATTTGACAAAAACTTTTAAAAACTTTTTTTATGCATGAAGTACTAGATATTGATGCATGTTACTTAAAATTCAAGATTACAAGTAAATTATGCATAAGTGCAATTTATTAAAGCTTCATGTTTGAATTCATGTAACTAACTGCGAATAAACATAATCAAATATATGATAAACATTTTATTTTAAAATATATTTAGGATAATTATCGAGTTCTAACAAAATAACTAATTATTATATTTATAAGAAAATTATATTATTATACCAAATATAAATTTACTTCATTATTGAACCTAAATTAAATTAAAAAAAAAGTGAATTAAAAAATTACACAAAAATGAGAATTTTAAATAGTTAATTTGATACTAATATTGATAGATTTTTGTCATTTTTTTATAATATTTTCAAAATTATATTTTATTCAAAAACAAAAACATCATCGCTTTTTTAAAATCACATAAGACCATACTATAATCGAGTAATAAAAATGTAATTCAATTATCTTTGTAATTATTTATAAAAAAATTATAAATTATTTATAAATAATAAAAATAAGAAAAATTAATTAAAATAGTCACTTTTACCCATTGATTTCATCTTTTAGCCATTTTTTTTATAAGATTTATCAAAATAGCCGTAGGTCCGCAATTTAAAAAAAATTGTGGACCTAGCCGAAAAATGTAATTTTTTTTGCGGATCTGAGTAAGAAATGATTTTTTTTGCGGACTTGGGGTGACAAAAGTACTGTTTTTTGTGGATAAGGATAGAAAGTGTATTTTTTTGTCTTTTAACTAGGTATGCAATTACGGATGTGGGTTATGCGAACCTATGACTATTCTGGTAAACTTGGATAGAAAATGACTAAAAGGTGAAACCGACCCTGAAAATGGTTATTTTAATAAATTTCCCTAAAAGTAATTACATTGTCTTTTACTGATTGATTATTACAGAACAAATGTTTTTAACATCTTCGAAAACATTTTTACAAACAAATTTTATAAAATCCCATAAAATACCAGATTTCTAAATTCAATATTTATCCCGAGATTTCAATTGCAGACTTTCCTTTAAAACCAAACACGAGATTTTAACAGAATTTAATATCAAATTCCTCGAAATCCTATTAAATCCAACAAACCACTACAACAAAAATGGGTTTATAGGACATCCCCAATCTTTAAGCGTCCCAATAGAACGTCTTATAGGACTTAATTTATGAACCAAGATATAAAGCGTTCTATCTAAAGATGTTGTAATAAGTTTATATGACGCTTTTGGGCGTCTTAATAAGTTTTTTTTTGAACATTTTAATACAAAGTGTCGCATTAGCAACTTTATATGACACTTTTGAGAAAGTGTCCTGTAAACTCAATTTTTTATAGGACATTTCTTTTTATAGGACATTTTTTTATAGGACAATTTTTCAAATAGTGTCCTATAAAGTTAATAATATGACGCTTTATATTAAAAGTGTCCTAAAAAACTTATCACGACGTCAAAAAACGTCATATAAACTTATTACAACGTCTTTAGATATGACATTTTATTTTCTTGGTCCTATAAACTAAGTCCTATAAAGAGGTCTATTAGAACACTTATAATTTGGAAGTGTCCTATAACCCGATTTTGTTCTACTATATTATAAAGCATTTGACAAAAACTCTTAAAAACCATTTTTTATGCATGAAGTATTGTTTATTGATGCATATTACTTATTTTTTTTTTGATTAACCTGGATATTCAACTCGCTATGCGAACTGACTAATCCCAGGGCGACTATCTGCTTTGCAGATAGCCGGAGTCACCGCATTTGAATCTCCGTGGCCACAAGGAGATTTTTATTATTCTTTGGATTTGAATCTGGGACCTCCTGGTACTTTTGACCTTTGGAGCCAAGCTCAAACCAATGAGACACCACCCTTATAACTAACTGCTGATAAACATAATCAAATACATGATAAACATTCATTTTAAATATAAAGAATCTAGAAATTAAGATAATCATTGAGTTCTAACAGAATGTTTAATTATTATTTATACTATATTATAAAACATTTGACAAAAACTCTTAAAAACCATTTTTTATGCATAAAGTATTGCTTATTAATGCATGTTACTTAATCTCAAGATTACAAATAAATTGTACGTAAGTACAACTTATTAAAGCTCCATATCTGAATTCGTGTAACTAACTGCACATAAACATAATCAAATACAAAATAAACATCTCATTTTAAATATAAAAAATCTAAAATATAATTAAGATAATTATTGAGTTCTAACATAATACTTAATTATTATCTTTATAAAATGT